TTGCTTGTTTCTTCTGGTTCTTTTTGCCTTCAGCCTCCTAAAGAAAAGGCAAAAGGCTACCCACATACTCTCGTTAAAATTTAGTTTCTTCTATTTGATTACGATGCCCATTTGCTCTAGATTGTCTGCCTCCTGGGAAGGTTCTGCGACTGCCGCCTGCTTCATAATCGTAGGTTCCTGCATGGGCACGAAAAAGCAGGACAAACAAGCTGTGCGAACATCCATCCATTCCTCTGGTTGTTTTATCATGGTTCTTTTTGCCGTTTGTCTCACAAAAAGAGAAAGCCAAATTCCAACATCCCCTGGTCAAAAAAGGTTTCTTCTATTTGATGTTCATATTCATATCGATTTGCCCTAAATGATTGTCTGCCTCCTGGGAAGGTTCTGCGACTTCCGCCTGCTTCACAACCGTAGATTCCTGCAGAGACACGAAAAAACAGGATAAGCTGTAACAACTTGACTTGACTGGAAGCTAAGTGTTGAAAGTGTACGGGTAGCTTTGGCCTCTACTTCCGCCCACTCCTCTGGTTGAAGCTGAACACTGTATATCTTCTATCTGAACTCACCTACCTCTAGACTAGAAACAAATTGGTCAAGCTCATGGGCCGCAAGAGCCTCCACTTCCGGTTCTATCTTTGCACCTTTTGCCTGCCAGCGGTAAACACACGCATACATATATATATATATTATATGTGAAAGCAAATCAGCTTGTTCAACGCTTGTCGGCCTTGGATGGTTCTTTGACTTTCGCCTTCTCCACCGTCTGTGGTTCCTGCATGGATTCAGTGGCTGTTTCTATGTATTTCTGTTGTCTCAATTCTTATCTTCTATTTGAAATACTCTGTGGAGCCCAAGTGTATTGTGGATTATTGTGGCATTTGAGCAAGAACCAAAAGATGAAACTAATAGCGGATGAGTTTGGCCTTCATCGGTTTGGATTTTGGCGTGCTCACCGGCATCGGCGCACTTTCTGCCTGCCAGGGCAAAAAATGGGAAGGTGAACAAGAAGAATCTACATATATATATATATGTGTATATAGTGGAAGATCACGTGCAGAACCACAACCACACAATATAGATTTCATGCAGTATCTTCTATTTGATCCCCCAGGTGTAGGACATCTAACTAAACGACACACACACAACCTTTTGTTTGGTCTTTCTATGGCTTATATAGAGGGATCCCCGCCTTCACGCCTGTGCAGCATATGCAAGGGTGGCTAGCAGCTTTGTACCGTAGACGGAGCACTGCCTTGACCAAGTCCTGCTTCGACCTTTTCGCTTTCAGGCCCGCCTCTTTCAACTCTGCGGTCAGACTGTGGTTGGAGGAGGATTCTAATCTCACCATGCACTCTCCGACCCATTTGGACACCTGAAGGGCTTGGGTTTTGTCCAGGAAGCTGTGGGTTGTCTCACCCACCTCCAACCGCCACTTCTTCCACCCACCATGATATTTGAGCTGCGCTGGGATGCCAAGCATTTCCTGCTGTTCAATGGCCATGGCCTCGACTTCCTGTCAGGGACAAAACATCTTTATATACTCTCTCTATGTATCTATATATATATATATGTGTGTGAGTGTGTGTGGGGCCGGCTTTGGATGATGGACTCTTTTTGTTCAAATCTCTGGCCTTCCATGCGGCTGTAGGCCTCACTGAGGCCAGCACACTGAGCACCACCATGCCAACATTGCCGATAATCATCCCATTACCGCAGCCACGATGCCAACTTTGCACATCCCTCAAGGAAATTGCAGGAACCATTGCAGCTTCCGCTAGGTCCTCTCAATGGGTTTCCTGTAGATAGATTAAATAGAAGATACAAACAAACAAACAAACGATGTAATTTAATGCAAGGAAATTGAAACAGATTCACAATTTATTGATGAAATTGGTGAAGAAGAATTACATATATAGTCTTTCAGATTCTCCCTTCCCTTCTCTTCCTCTTCCTTGCCATTTTAATATCTTCTATTTGAAGTGGCTCGGGCATGGAAGACCAGGGCCTTCCCCTTCCCTTTCCACCTTTCCTTCCTTCTCTTTACCTTTACCTTTCTTTCCTTTACCGCCTTCCCTTCCCCCTTCTCAGATTTTCCCTTCCCTTCTGCTTCTTTCCCCCTGCCTTTCTCCTTCCCCCTTTCCCCACCCTTTCCCTTTCCCTTCCCTTTTCTTCCTCTTCTTGGCATATTTTTTGTATCTTCTATTTGATGTGGCTCGGGCCTGGAAGACCAGGGCCTTACCCTTCCCTTTCCACCTTTCCTTCCGTCTCTTTACCTTTACCTTCCTTTCCTTTACCTCCTTCCCCCTTCCCCCTTCTCAGACTCTCCCTTCCCTTCTGCTTCTTTCCCCCTGCCCTCCTCCTTCCCCCTTTCCCCACCCTTTCTCCTTTCCCTTCCCTTCTCTTCCTCTTCTTTGCCATTTTTTGTATCTTCTATTTGATGTGGCTCGGGCCTGGAAGGATGCGATGGTCGGATGATCCGATGGTCCGATGATCCCATGATCCGATGCTCCGAAGGTCCGATGGTCGGATGATCCGATGATCCGATGGTCCGATGGTCCGA